TTCAGAACTGATCATACTGTAATTCTGGGCAAGGAACTGAAATGGAGCTACAAATTATTAAATCAAACAGATTTAAACTAGGATTTTACTAAGCAAATACTATAGAATGTGATTTTCACTTGTTTAGGGTTTTACTAAGAGCTGTTCTAACTTTCCAAAATGGCATAAAGAATAAATAGTTAAAAAACATTTTAAGAAACTCCCCTAGATCAGAGTTGTGGAATTACAAATAGTTGTAAGTAATTTTTGCTGTGTTTGAAAATGCCTTTTTTATTTTTAATTGGCATCTGTGACTTGGCCATATGGTGCTTTTCATGCAAGCTTTTCTGACATGGGCAACATGCGAACCCTTTTGTAAGTGTGTCTGCTTAGTTTAAGCCTACATTAATGCTGGCCTAACAGCCAGAAGTCGTCTTCTGTGTTGAATATTTAAACATCATGTTAAACTTTAAACACTCGAGTTCTTTATTTTTATGATTATTAAAATTGTGTTTCACTCAAGTTTCTGAGGCTTGTACCCTGTAAATGGGGTTGTTCCTGCCCATACATCCCACAGGCAGTTTTTGGATATGCTGTAAAATACTGCTTGAGATTTTCCGCCAGATTATTTTCCCCCTTAAAAATTTATCTAGGATTTTGTTTTCCCTTATGAAATCTGTAAAATATTTAGGGATAGCAGTGGTTCCATACTATAAGTATGCCATTTTGAGGAAGGGATTTTTAAATGCAGCCTTCATTAGGGTTGCCAGCCTCCAGGTGGGGCCTGAAGACCCCCGATTTTTACAACTGATCCCCAGCTGACAGAGATCAGCTCCTATGGAGAAAATGGCTGCTTTGAAGGGTTGACTCTATGACACTGTACCCTGCTGAGGTCCCTCCCCTCCCCAAACCCCGCCCTCTCATGGATCCATGCCCAAAGTCTCCAAGTATTTTCCAACCCAGAGCTGGCAAACCTAGCCTTCATAGATCTTTCCTACTAATTTGATTCCATACCTAGAACCCATCTATGGACTAAACTGAAGCAAATCACAATTGACAGGAGATTGTTATGGTTGATTAAAAATCTCTGTACTGATTCTACTGCCCAAGTGCAGTGTAATAGTGAGGGTCACTTGACTACTTCCTTCCCCGTTGGCCAGGGGGTTCAATAGGGGTGCCTTTTAGAACCATCTTTATTTAGTTTATATTTGGCCCCTGCCACACGGGGGGGGGGGAAGTACGGCCAAAGTGCGGCTTTTCAAAGCTGCACCAAAAGAGACACCGGCGGCGGAATCACACAGATCCCCTGAGCCGCCGCGCAGTTCCTCCCCGGCATGATCAGATGCCAGGGGGAAGCCACTGAAAGGAGAGCGAGGCAGCTGAACTGTGCATGTGTGCGCGTGCACAGTTCAGCCGGGAGCCTCGATTGCTCCTGCAGACGAGCGCGCCAGCGATCTCACAGCCACGCTTGCTGCGGTGCTTCAGGCAAGTCCTACCAGTTAGTAGGTTCTTTTTTGCACTGCATTTTTTGTTCTGAAGGGACGGATCGGGAACGGGTGTGCGCCGATTCCCAGATGTTGCAGTGGGATCGTGCCCGTTTGCTGCGCCCCCGATCCGTCCCTCTTCCGGGCCAAAACCTCCCATGTGACCGGAGCCTTTGTCTAATTTGCCAGTTTTCTTTAATGATCCTTTTCTGCATTCTCCTGAATTACAGGATGTTTCAGTCCCTCTTTTACTTTACACAGATGACTCAGTTTTACTTTTCTGAAATCAGGTCCATCTTCTTCGGGCTTTGAAAAGGTTTCATACTTATTGTTTGCATGAGGAATTATCTATTAATTTTACCAAAACTAAAATTATTAAGTTTGTACCACGCTCTTCGACCAAAAGAAAAACATGGCTAGTTAATGGACGGAAAATCTCACAGCTTGTCATAAACAATTAGTCACTTGGAAATCTATGGCTACTATGAAGACAATTCTGCATTTCTTTTATTTTAATGGGGCATATTGTATTCCAGCTGCTATTAGAGTTTTTAGCTCAATGATGATTTCACAACTTTTGTATGGTGTCCCTATATGGATTTCTGATGTAGATGATTCTATAAATAGAGTGTGGTCGTTGTTCCTTTGGAATCAGAAGACTTTACAGGTACATTTTATCATTGGCCCTTCATTATGAATTTGGTCTTAGCTCTATAGACACCTGTGCCTGGGTGTCTATAGAGCTTTCTAATATATACAGAATTGAGGGTTTTGAATATTCAAGAGAGTACTGTTGAAGGTTAATTTCTGAGTTTCAAATTCTTTTCAGTGAGAGGTTTATGCTTATTATATATTTCAAATGTTACCCAGAATTTTGAATAGTTTCTTAGAGAATAGCTTTGTCTTAGTGCTTCTAGGTTTCTCCCTTCAGAGGTTACAGTTTTTCACTAACTCCTGTGATGTCTAAGATTCTCCCCTTTATCATAGACCAGGGTTCTTTTCCCAACTCCTTTCACTGGCAGGAAGTTATTCTCCTTGTCCCTAAGAAGCAATAACTCCTTTTACTATTTTACTTGTATAGGAGTTCTCTCTAACTACGCAGACCTTCTGCAATCCTTCATCAGTATCTGTTGTCTGTATAAAGCTGTTCTGTAGCTTTCTTGACTGAGAATCTAAATTCTCCCCCAGAGTCGTTCTAATATATTTAAGACAATGGGGTCCCTCTACTTCTCTCTATAGAAGTACTTTTCTGATGATTCCCTGACAGAAATCACTGACTCCCAAAGTCTCTTCACTCAGAAGCCAACCCCTTTGGCTACTGATCCAGACATTAGATTTCATACAAAGACCAAAAGGCAAATGAAACTTTCCCCTCCAGATCACGATTTATTTCCTCTCTCAGTTGATTCTGGCTGATTAGAGAGTGAGTAGAGCAACCAATCACATAAGCTGTTCTCTCCAGGGAACATTAACTCTTGGACTTCCTGACTCTCTGGCTGATTTCGCACTAGAGCTGCCTCGCGGTTGCGCTGCCATTTGCCCAAACACTATTGGTCAATTTCACACCCGAAGCTGCGGGGCTGCATTTGACCCACGGCTTCGCCCGATTTCCTCTGCAGTTTCGTGATCCTCAAAAAACAGGATCACGAAACTGCGGGGGAAATCGGGCGAAGCCGCAAATCAAAATGCAGCCCCGCAGCTTCGGGTGTGAAATTGACCAATAGTGTCGGGGTAAACAGCGGCGCAACCACGAGGCAGCTCTAGTGCGAAATCAGCCTCCGACACAAGCAGCACTTTTAAAAGCATGCTATTCTTTGCTATCTGTCAGACTCTTATAAGGATCCATGGCCCCAGCTTTTTCAGAACAGAAGTTATCTCTTGTAAATCTTAAGGTGGAGGATCTTCTTCCTCAACAATTAAGTTCAAAAAAACATGTGGCCACACTGATTTATGTCAGAGATAAGAGTTATACTCATTTTGATGCTCGGATAACATGTTCTCCATGTGCCTTGGGCCTTTCGTCTAAGGGTAGATTCCTTGGTTGACCCAAAGTTATGTAGGACCTTTATGCATTCGTGATTCAACTACTCCTTTTCAATGGTATTGCTGGGTCATCTACTTTTGTTGTTCAGTCGCACAGTCGAGTCCGACTCTTCGCGACCCCATGTACCAGCTCCCGCCAGGCCTTCCTGTCTTCCGTCGTCCTCTGAAGTTGGCTCAATTTCATGTTCGTTGCATCTTTGACACTGTCTAACCATCTCATCCTTTGCCGTCCCCGTCTTCTTTGACCTTCAATCTTTCCAAGCATCAGGGTCTTCTCCAGTGAGTGCTCCCTTTTCATTTGGTGGCCAAAGTATTTGAGCTTCAGTTTCATTATCTGGCCATCTACATTATCTGGGTCATCTACTAAGGATCCCTTTTTTAGATTGGTTATGTCCCTGTCTCCTCCAGTCAGTGGACTCTCTTGTACATATTCTCCTGCAGTGTCCTTATGTGCTCCAGTATAGGCTAAAATGGATTATGTCATATCAAGATAAATGGGCTATGCTTCCCCTAGTGACATTGGACCAAAAGGTCCAATTCTCCTTGGAGGATTCTGATTCCCAATGTACTTATTTTGTTGCTTGATTTTTAGAGGCTGCAGACAAGAGTCGAGGGGAAGTGTTTTTAGATATGGGTTTTATTTTATTTTTTGGTTTTATTGTTCGAGATCTTGGACTGAGAACAGGAGATGTCAAAATAAAATAAAAAGCAAATTATTATTGTTACTCAGAGCTATAGCTCAATGGCTTGTGTCTGGCAAGAGAAAGGGAAAAAAATTAAAAAGTGCTGGTGGCAACAGAGTGAAGTCACCTCTTGGAAAACCTGGAAGTGACATCAGCCCTAAAAAGTACTCAAAACTCTATGGTTTTCCTGAGTTTCCATTGTTGATCACCTGCTTTTCATGGAGAAGGTCCAGATTTGGTCCCCAAAAACTCATATAGTAAGTGTAGGGCTTTTTAGGGAATGACATTTCCATGACTGAGATCATAGAGTGTTGCTGTGCTGCTCAGAGTAGGCAGTACTGAATTAGATGGATCAATGGCCTGCCGAGTATAAAGGTTCTTCTTAATGAGGAGAGAATACTTTGGATAATGATTTTCTCCGTACTCACTGACTTGTCTTGTGATGTGCAGCTGCAGAGAAGTATGGGCTATGCTTTGGGTTCCATCTTTATTTCACATGAGACTAGTTGTGAGAGGCACTAGATCTAGGTGGTATCCTGATTAAGGTGTGTATGGCCTGAAAGGGTTCCTAGAATCCATTGCAACATTTGAAGATTACTTTGGACAACTTGATGTGGAACAGGTTACAAGCTGGAAGAAAGTCTGGAAACAGTTGCTTACTAGTTTAAGTTAACCTGTTAGTCTCAATTAATAACCATAAATATTTATCAGAAAAAAAAATAATGGCAATGCTCTTCATGTGTTTAAGAATCTTTGACTAATAATGGAGGAAATGTATTTTGTCATTGTTAAGTTTTTTAACTTTTCACAGCTATAGGTTTGGACTCTTGCCCTGAACCACAGACCCCAAACAGTGGTATTAAAATAGGAGACAGGTACATGGTTGGAGATGTGGTTTCCTTCCAGTGCGATCAGGGATATTCTCTTCAGGTAAGTTTTAATTAATAAAACTGATGTTGCAAAACACAGAACTCACATTATAAAATCTAAAATATTAGATTTTTGAAATTTTGTTTTAATTTGATTGTCCTTTTTCAAAATCGCAGAAAGTAAGTTTGCCAACCTCCAGGCAGAGCCTGGAGATCTCCTGAAATTACAAGTGATTTCCAAACTACAGAGATAAGTCTGTGTGGAGAAAATGGCTGATTTGGAGGATGGACTATGGCATTATATCCTGAGGTCCCTCCCCAGACTCCACGCCTAAATCTGGAATTTCCCAGCCCAGAGTTGGCACCTCTAGCAGATGACATAAGAACATAAGAGAAGCCAATGTTGGATCAGGCCAATGGCCCATCCAGTCCAACACTGTCACACAGTGACCAAAAATACCAGGTGCCATCAGGAGGTCCAGCAGTGGGGCCAAGACACTAGAAGCCCTCCCACTGCCCCCCAAGCACCAAGAATACAGTGCATCACTTGCCCCAGACAGAGAGTTCCTATCTATACCTTGTGGCTAATATCCACTGATGGACCTCTGTTCCATATGTTTATCTAATTCCCTCTTGAAGCTGTCCATACTTGTAGCCGCCACCACCTCCTGTGGCAGTGAATCCCATGTGTTAATCACTCTTTGAGTGAAGAAGTACTTCCTTTTATCTGTTCTATCTGAACATTGGTAAAGTTGGGTGGTTGTGTTTGGGAGTGAATTTTGCAAACATAGCATGTCAGAATCTTATACCCAAGGTAAGGATGTGCTAATTTTATTTAATAGATTTTAATTATCAGCTGGGAACTATTTTCAGACTCTGATCAATAAGAGAGGGGAAAGAAAGCAGAAAAAAGTGACAATAAAGTATGTTCTTTCTGAGAAATTATTTTGTACAAGCAGATTTATAAGTAAGGGATTTGTAAGTGATAGTTAAGGGGCAAACTATGCATTACACTGCTGCAGCATCTGTTACGTTCCTGATAGACCCATCTCCCTTACAAAGTACTCTGGGGAGGGAGTGATTTGCATTCTTTTTAAAAAAGTGCTAGAAGGGGTGAGGACCCCCACTCTTCTTCTAATACTTTTAGCTCATCCAGCTGCTTCATCCTCCTCCTTTCTCTGATGCAAGACTCTGAATCTGAACCTCATAGTGGTGAAAAACCAGTGTTGAAATGTGTGTCTAGAATTGGCAAAATCAAGGCTTAAATCTTAATTTAGCCATGACCCTTGGGTTAGTTTCTCACAGCCTAACCTATCTCATAGGGCTTATTGTGAGTATAAAGTGGGAAGCAGAATATTATATGTGTCATCCTAAACTCGGAAGAAGAGTAAGATTAAAAATATGAGGGATAAAAGCAACTGTGCTTCTGTAAGGAGAGGAGGATAAGTTCCATGGGGAAAGCTACTGTTAAGGAATGACCCTTCCTTCCTTCCCATCATCTTTTCTGTTACTAATTGCCTCCTTATGAAGATGCCTTGAAAGACAGAAGGGGTCGACATTTTTTCCCCTTTTTCTCCATAACAAATATTCTTGGAATCAGTTCTATAAATGTGATAGTCCATGGTCTCAAGAAGGTTATAGTCTAAACTTTAGTGGCAAAAAAATAAATAAAACAACAAAAGGGAAGGAGGGGGATAAAACAGTAAGGAGTAATAGATAAAAGATGGGAGTGGCACGACAAAGATAACAGTGATGATAGTGAACATTTTTAGTCCACTCCCTCCTCTGACTCCCTTCTTCAGTGTTATCAGAATCAGAACCCCATGTGAGGTCTGCTGTGTGAAGAACATCTCCTACATGTGAAAACTGAGAACATGAGTTCTGGGCCAAAAAGAGTATTTTCTTTCCCATTGTGCTGCATATACAGGTCCCAGTAAGGCACAATAAATCCTTAAGAAAAGATGGAAGGAGATAAGCACTTTACCAGCAAGTAACCTTATTGTCCTATCCAAGAAAAAGAATAGAAATTAAGAACTGAGATGCAGGCACAAGCCAAGAAGACTGGATTATTCTTTTGCAATAGTATCATGGCAATTTAAGCATGAGAATCCAATAAGAATATTCTTGTTTGCACAGTCCTAGTGTGTAGTGGTCTTAGAACAATGCCCACTTCTTTTTACTTTTGTGTGTGTGTGTGTGCATTTGCTTGTATGCCTGGAAGTCATGGTGACTTCTGACAACCCCTAGTGGGGGTTGGACGTTTCAGAGGAGTGGCTTGATATTGCCTGCCTCTGCATCCCGAGCCCTGGTATTCCTTGGAGGTCTCCTTTCCAATTCCAATTCTTACATTGCAAGTTATGTTTCCCTACCATGGCTAGTCCAGAGCAAACCAATCTGGAGAGAAGTGATAGGTGAAAGGTTTCCCCAAAGGGACTACAAAGATGGAGGGCTGGAGATACCTGTCTCATGAACCAGGAAGAACCCTACTATTGGCGAAATTCATTGCAGAACTGTGATTCATGATTTGGCTTCCTATTCTATTGATCACTTTGCATTTCTAATGAGTAGAGTATGATGTGTTACCAGGTTAGCTGGGAGTCCCAAGAGGTCATAAGAGAGAGGACAAGAATGGGTATTTATCAGGGAGGTAATAGGGGACAGCAAGATGATCTAAATGAGATGATTAAATTTCTGGGTAGCAGACTGACTAAGGCTTATTTGACAGAAGCCGGGAGGTGAATTGATGGCTCTCCATGGACTTATGATGGAATCACCAAGGAGAATGGCATTGTGAGAGAAATCCTGAGAGCATTGGTTATTACACTGGAAACTTGGCTTATTGCTTCAGCCATTGGTGTGAGGAATTCTGAGGGTCAAACCGAGAGCCCTGTCTAATGTTCTTTTGGAGCATTCAGGAAGTCAGATTCCTTTTTGAGAGTGCCTAGGAGATTTCCTTCCTTAATAGAAAGACCCTATTTGATTTTCAAACTGAATGTGTTTCCTCACAACTCTAGCATATGAATGCCAAAGGATTCTGGAGTGCAGGTGATACAAGTCTCAGTGAGGGTAAGTTAGGGCACCCTAACCTGGGCAAGAGGAGCTATAATCTTGGCTTCCTGCTTTTGAGCTTACTTATCCACAGCGATAGGTTATGTCTTCATATATGGCACCAGTCTACATTTCCAAGTTTGCCCAGTAGACAGTTAATGGAAAAAAATGAGCCATCATCTCCTGCTCAGAAGAATTACCAGTGTATGATGTTGTACTTTTCACAGTATAAGGTTTCCAGTTTGCTAAATTTGTAAATTATGTCATGTCATTACAGGGACATTCCCATATCACCTGTATGCCTGGACCTGTAAGAAGATGGAATTACCCTATTCCTATTTGCTTAGGTATGTCTCTAGAATGCAAGATTTATTTAATCTGAAAACTATACAAAAATGAAACATGAAGAGTTGTAACTTGTTTTCCATGATGGTGGAAAGTGTTGTCAATTCCCAGCTGACGTCTGGCAACCCCATAGGGTTTTCAAGGCAAGATACTTTGTTTGTTTGTTTGTTTCATTGGACTTATATCCCACCCTCCCCACATTGTAGGTTCAGGGCAGGTACCAACATATATGTATCTGCAATTAATGCAGATTTACAAATTAAAGAATATTACAATAATCAAAACATTCAGCGTTGATTTGCCATTGCCTGCCTTTGTGTAGTGACCTCGGAATTCCTTGGTGGTTTCCTCATCCAAATATTAACGAGGGCCAACCCTGCTTAGCTTCCAAGATCTGATGAGACTGGGCTAGACAGGGCATGAATTTCCTCACAGAAATATTTTCTTATGGTAGAGCCTTCTACTTGAGAAAGAGGCTGTTCTACTGGGGTAAGACTCCTCCCTGACAATTGTCATTTTAAATGTCAGATTTGTGTCCATTTATTACATTAAATAGTGTCTGAACTTGTATGTCCTGTTTAGAGAAAGGAAGGGTACTGTGGACATATGATGGCATATATCACAGGGGAGAACCAGTGTGGTTTAGTGTTTAAAGTGCTGGACTAGGATTTGGGAGACCCAGGATGAATTCCTACACTGCCATGGAAGCTGCTGAGTGACCTTGGGCCAGTCACACACATGCAACCTAACCTATTTCACGGGGGTTTTGTGAGAAATAATAGAGAAGAACAGAATAATATGACATGGTTTTAGTCCCCATTGGGCATAAATGAAGTAAATAAATATATTGGAGTATGAGCAGATGGATGAAATCAAAATGCTATGGCTGAAGTTTTTAGGTCCTATAATACTATTGCTTTCATCAGCCATGCTATTTTAGACTCACCTTCCAAGGTAATATATGCCACCATGTGCCAACATCTTGCCATTTTAACCCCTGTATAGGACAAACAGGTCCACTGTGTAAAATAATAAATGGCTACATATCTGGTATTAAAAATGCCAGTGTTCAGAAACTAGTATGAGAACATGTCAGCTTTCTAGAACAAACTGTTGGTAATCTAAAAGTCACACTGTTGCTGATCTAGTTACCATTCCCTGGCCAAAGGACTTCAAAGGGGGATTCTTAAATGACACTACTGAATTAAGGTTTGACTCTGTCAAGAATCACCTGTGCAGTCCTAAACTGAGCTACATCCTTCCAAGAAAGTTAACTTCAGTGGACTATTTAGAATCGTGCTGTAAATCTGGGATTCCTCAGTCATTACGGTTGTTAACCACTGCTGTGCGTCAGCTGGCCCATGCCCTCAGGTTCTCTCTCCCCCTCCAACCTCTTGAGTCTCCTCAGGCCTCTGACTATTTATTTATTTATTAAATTTATATCCCGCCCTCCCCAAACGGGCTCAGGGCAACTATGACGCCATCAGAGGGAGGGGGTTCTCTCACCCTTGGCCTCCTCTTCCTGTGCCTCTGGGGCTCTCAGCCCAGTTCCTCCCACAGGACTCGGCATGCATGGATGGCGATCCTCCCTGGCTATCCTCGAAGATCCTCTTCTAATTCTCCTTCCTCTCCCCTCTATTCATCGCCCAGTCTGCCAGTCCCATTTCTGATTTCAGCAGCTCCATGTGCTCTGTCCCTCCCTTGTTGCCCATACCCCTCCCCTTTTCCCACAGACTCAGAGAGGGTGGGGCCATTGGCATCACCATGGCCGTGTTTCTCGGGAGGCCTGCTCCTGTCTTCCCTGGCTTCTCCCAGCTCTTTGGCATCATCATGGTCTTGCTTGCCCCCATCCCCAGTGGCCACCCAACCCCTGCAGGCTTCCACGGCCTCTCAGGCTGCTCCCCATGGCTCTGCTCGAGCCAGCTGTCCCTACCTTGCCTCATCATGCTGGCTGCTTGCCACTGCTCCACACCTGGCTGTGTCTCCCTCATCATCTCCCACCAACGGGAGGGGCACAGTCCAGTTCTTGCCTCTGTCATCTCCAGCTGGCTGGGTTCCTGGCATGCCATTGGTGCTGAGCCGCCTGCTTCCTTCTGACTCTGTAAGCAACGGAAAGCGGGAGAGCTGAGGCTTGGGGGCATCCTGGTGCCCATTGCTGGGAAATTGTATTATTTATCACCAATTACTGTTGTTTCTGAAAGTGATCAACATAATAATTACATCTTACTCTGTGCATTTTATGGTCATCTGACTCTTTTATTTACCTCTTATTTTCTTCACAATGTCTACATGCTTGCGTGAATGTATATGTTCACACACATGTGCGTGGACTCTAGTTTGTGAGCGATTATGGTGGAATAAAAACTTTTTAGTCTTTCTGGCACCACAAAATTATTATTTATCTTTTTTTGAGTTTTTCATAGTGCATTACCAAAACCCCCTGATGGCATAATGAGTGAATGAGGACATATATAACAAGCAGAGACTCAAACTATGTAACTATTAACAATGGGAATAATTCTGAATTGTCAAAAGAAAAGTATCTGAAAATTATTATCTGGTTTAAAGTTAACTTTAGAAGCCATTAGGAGCACTGAATTGCATCGCTGTTGGTGGTGGTTTGGGTGGATTTTAAATTTAAAAAAATAACTCAGTCGTGTAAAAAGACTCCGCAGATTTAATGTGGGTAGCCTTAACCAACGTTCACTTAGAGGAAACGATCCAGATAATTATGAATTCTCCCACAGATGTTGACAGCCTTTCCTAAATTACCTAAATTATAGGATATATTATTGGGAGAAGCTCTTAGGACATTTTAAATTATATTATATTTCTCAATTGTGGTGATTCTAGCGTAATAAAGTATAAAGTATAATCCTTATGTAAAATAATAACCAACTTTTTTATTTTAAAAGGTACTTATTTAGCAAATTAATGGAGAAAGCTTAACTGTTCCCCTCCTCCCCACATTAATGTGGTCTTACACTATTCTTTATGTTAATCTCTCCCATTTTAGCACAGTGTGGTGGTTCTATGTCAGACTTCAGTGGAGTGATTCTGAGCCCAGGCTTTCCTGGAAATTATCCTAGCAGTTTGGACTGCACATGGACAATCATGCTGCCTATTGGTTTTGGTATGTTTTATTCCTATTTAACAATAATATAAGTGTATTTTTCTTGTAGGTTTTATGGCTGCTTTAATTTATAATACTTTGGTAGACATAATTGTTTATCTCATAGACATGGTAACCTTGTTTGCATAGGACTCCTGTCATCTACTACTATGTTTCCACAATTGTTGATGATCGTGTTGGTGATAATTCAGCACGTACCACACCACTATACATATCAAGCTGCCCAACCCTGAATATTCCATGAATGTTGAAAAATATATGCCCAGTGAGAATTCCAGTGTGCGCTCAGGAAGGTTTGAATAATTCATTCTCTTAATCTAAATTTAAAGGTATTTTAAAAATTACATTTCTATAAAGAATAGAAATTATTACTCCATTCAAGTATTAACTTGAGGATAAAGCAAGCTAGAAATTGAGACACCAGTGCTTCAAAAAGTATGATCCATGACTTATACATTTTAGCACCTTTCTCTCCCTCAAAGGCTAGATTTTCCATCTGTTTTTCTTTCCCTTTTGTTACGGAGCTGCCCTAGTTGTCTGTTTTCTTCATTCTGAATTATTCTGGCTGTCCCACCCTGTCACAGTATAATATTTTGACTCTTTGATCAGCCCAGGAACCTGAGGGAAGGAATGGGACTTCCCCCTTTAACTTATATGACTTAAATGGTACTTGAGAAATTTTCATATTCCAAATTAACAACATATTTTATTTAACTTAGAGGGGTGAAATCAGGGGGGTAAAATTTCTGAGTTAAAATCAGTACATGCACAGACTTCAGTTCTTATGTTTCAGGCTAATGAGAGTTCATTAGGCTTATCAGAATTACTTAAAATATTTATGCTGAGAGGCTTTTGTTCCAATGTTTTCCAAACACTCCATCACACTTTCTTTGAGTATTTTCTGACTCTCTTGGTTTCCAGAAGGCTGATGCACTCTTGCCAGTACCCAAACCCCTTCTCTTGAAACACCAGTACTCACTGAGTTTCTAACTGACTCTTAAGGTCTCTGAAGGCAGTTTCTAACCACACAAGACCAGGGGGTCTCTTCAGAGCTAACCCCTTGTTTTTACTGGGTAGGGAATTTTCTTCTTTCTCTAGAAATGCTATGCTGGGGATTATTAGGAAGGGAATTGAAATGCCAATGCTATGCTGGGGATTATTAGGAAGGGAATTGAAAACAAATCAGCCAGTATCATAATGCCCCTGTATAAGTCAATGGTTCAACCCCATTTGGAGTACTGTGTAGAGTTCTGTTCACCACACCTCAAAAAGGATACTATAGCATTGGAAAAAGTGCAGAAAAGGGCAACTAGAATGATAAAAGGGTTGGAATACTTTCCCTATGAAGAAAGGTTAAAACGCTTGGGGCTCTTTAGCTTGGAGAAATGACAGCTGAGGGGTGACATGATCGAGGTTTATAAGATTATGCATGCAATAGAGCAGGTTGAGAAAGAAGTACTTTTCTCCCTTTCTCACAATACAAGAACTTGCTGAGCAGTCAGGTTCGAACAGATAAAAAGAAGTCCTTCTTCACCCAAAGAGTGATTAACACATGGAATTCACTGCCACAGGAGGTGGTGGCAGCTACAGGCATGGATGGCTTTAAGAGGGAATTAGATAAACATATGGAGCAGAAGTCTATCAGTGGCTATTAGCCATAAGGTATAGATAGGAACTCTCAGTCTGGGGCAAGTGATGCACTGTATTCTTGGTGCTTGGAGGGGCAACAGTGGGAGGGCTTCTAGTGTCCTAGCCTCACTACTGGACCTCCTGATGGCACCTGGTATTTTTGGCCACTGTGTGACAGAGTGTTGGACTGGATGGGCCATTGGCCTGATCCAACATTGGCTTCTCTCATGTTCTTATGATGGCCTTGGGCAAGCCATAGTTCTCTCAGAGCTGTTCTCTCAAGGACAGTTCTCTCAGAGCTCTCTCAGTCCCACCTACCTCACAGGGTGTTTTTTTTTGTGGGGAAGGGAAGGGAAAGGACTTTGAAAGCCACTGTGAGACTCCGAGTGAAGGGCGGGGTATAAAGCCAATCTCCTCCTCCTCCTCCTCCTCCTACAGGTTTTCAGAGATGGTCCTGGTTATATATAAAGCAAGTACTTGCTTTATATAGAGAGAGCAATTACTTGCTTTTCTTGAGAAACAAAGCCATGCAATTAAGAAGGAGAACTTATGGACTATAGGGAATTAATACTGGTTTTCAGTATTCTGATAACAGTATCCCAAAATGAATTATCTAGAGAGCAAGAACACCATATGCAATGAAATCAATATTCTTATAGGAATCATACTAACATATTTCTTCTTGGTTTTAATACATCCTTTTAAAAAAGATAGTGAGGCTGTCACAGGTAAAAGCACGAGCTGTGCCTCATCATTCCCCTAGAGGGGGAGCAGATTGCCAGCCTCCAAGTGGAGCCTGGAGATCTCCTGGAATTCGAACTGATCCCCAGGCCATAGAGTTCACTTCCCCTGGAGAAAACAGCTGTTTCAGAGGGTGGATTCTATGGCATTATACCCTAATGGAGCCCCTCCCCAGGATCCACCATTAAAAATCCTAGACTTTCTCAACCTGGAGTTGGCAATCCTAAGTGAAGCCTATTGGGCAAGGCTCCCTCTGCAGACTCTTGTGCTCTGCCATGATCCCTCTCACTTCACAACAAATTTACAATGACACATAGCACTTATATAGAGCATTTAGCTTTCAAAGTGTTCAGGTAAAATATTGAAGTAATCATTTACCCTAGCTAGGTAAACAAACTACGAAAGTAGTACAGTGTAAACCGCTCTGAGACCCATTAGGGGTCATGGGCGGTATAGAAATTGGAAATGTAATGTAAAATACAAATTACAATATATCATCAATGCACGTATATCCATAAGAGAATTGCATATCAATCATGTGGGCAATTATATCTTTCCTGCAGAGGTCATTTCGGGGTGGGGACACGGGGGATCGCAGTTCCCCCGGGTGAGGTACAGGGGGGCGGGGCACATGACGAAGCCCCGTCCCCTGCTTCTGGCCGCCCCGCTTCCGGCCCTCATTCAGCCAGGAGGAGGCAGGAGAAGAGGGAGGGTAAGTTGCTTCCTCCCTGCCTCTCCCCACCCCTGCCTGCCTGGGGCCAGGGAGGGCCTTCGCGGGGCTTCCTTGCACTCCCACCAGCCTTGCAGGTCCACCGCCAGGCCCCTCATGGGGCTCGGCAGTGGAGCTGCAAGGCCGGCGGTGGCAGCCGGGACCGTTGGGGGCAGGATGTGTGGCCTAATGACACATTTCCGGTGATGTCAGGGGGTGTGGCCTTATGACACACTTCCAGTGATGTCAGGGGGTGTGGCATATGCTAATGAGTTATGCTAATGAGTTCCCCTAGCTCTTTTTCTACGAAACGACCCCTGCTTTCCAGATATGTTATAGTATATGCAGCCAGTGTGGTTTAGTGATTAGAATGTTGGATTGTGACTGGGGAGACCGATGTTCAGGTTCCATTTTGCCATGAAGTTCATTAATGATCTTGGTCCAGGCACTCCCTATCAATGTAACCCTACCCAAGGATGTTTTGAGGATAAAATGTGTGCCCGAGGTGGGGGGAGGGGTCCATATATGTAATTAATTCCTTGGGGAATATATGTGATTAAAATCTAATATATAAGCAGTAATGCATATGGGAACTGAAGCAGATAGAGACATCAGAACTCATTATATGACTGAAATCCTAAACAGTTATACCCAGTTGAAGCTGATGAGCTTAGAAGGATGTGGTAACTTTTGGGAGGGGATGATTCAGTAGTGGAAGCAGCAGTGATCACAAGAACTCTAACAAACTGAACAGAACACAACTAGGTCTCAGTACAGAGGCTGTACTCCTGAATGAAAACAGGCCTTACTAGTAGGGATGGGCATGAACTCAAAATTCCAGTTTGGTTTGGGGTTGGAGTAGTTCCCGAACCAAACACTGAACTGAGCCAAAAATGCTTGAACTGAACTGAAAGGGGGGGATCACCCAGGATGGGTTAAATGGCTGGCAGCCATTTAAACCTAACAGCCGATGGGCAGACCCACCGCACTGTTAGGTTTAAATGGTTGGCAGCCATCTAAGCAGTATTTTGCTTACCCCCACTTCAAAGTGGGAGGAAGTGAAATGGACAGGTTTAATGGCTGCCAGCCATTTAAACCTAACAACGGGAAAGCATTTCAGTAGCTTCAAACCAGGGGGAGTAAAACAGAGGGGTTTAATGGCTGGCAGCCATTTCAGTAGTCCATTTCGCTTCCCCCCATTTCAAAGTGGGAGCAAGCAAAATGGAGTGCTGAGATGGCTTGCAGCCATTTAAACCTAACCGGTGAGCTGTGGACCCAGGCCACTAACTGTTAGGTTTAAATGGCCCAGACAGCTGAACTGAACTGGACAGAAGTTCAGTAAATATTCGGAGAAGGTGCCTTCCCCGAATATCAGTTTGGGGACTCTGAACTGGGCCAAGTTCATACCAAATTTTGGCTCCTGAATGGGTTCATGTCCATCCCTACTTACTAGTAGACTGAGTAGATTGGAAAATGAGAGGCTGTTTCAGAGGAAGAGTTAGGAGCTGGCCACCTTAGAACCTGTGCATCTCTTTACACAGAATTCCATATCCCTCCCCAGATGTGTTTCATGGTATGTGAATGGAAGCAGGAACAGTTACTCTTAATTTGAAGCATAGATGTTCATCTAGGATATAATTTATGTGAGCTGGAAAATTATTTGCAAGGCTGCTCTTGAATGTATGAAAAAATCTGTAATGTATAGCCACAAAAATAATTTAAATGGGATAATTATAGCATTATTCCTCACTTCTCAATAATTAAATTGACATTAGATGTCATTTACTGAATATTATATGAAATCCATATGCTTCTCTCTGCCACAACCATTCAATATAGCTCAATTATCTTTATAATGAAAACAATGATTTATCATTCTTTGTTAGCATTGCATTATTTCAGGCCAAAAAAGGCATCTTAT